AAWKWATGWWKRATGRWWGRTRRAWMAAAAAAATACATGTAATATCTTTTAYATTTGTAAAACTTTCAAAAAATATTACCTTTGCTTCTTCGCATAACTGTCTTCTAATCAAATATTCCCTGGAAAAAGTAGYTTGCAGYTTATTATACGCTTYATCTTTCTYAATCAAATGGTTTATAAWCCYACAAAATTCACATTAAAAACTCACCTAAATCTATCAACTCCATAATTTGCTAACCAACAACCAGCTACAGCGAAAAATATGGACTTTTTACGATGTTTTCGTAAAGTGTAAAACCTTGGCTTTCCGTCCGCCATATTTRATTACCGCTGAATGTTTGGGTTGCAGTCTCATAAGATAATTCTATTTCCGGTCACCAATTTTTGGCACTTCCGGTGGTGTAATGTTTTCGCTTTGTCACATGATTTTCGTATGATAGTTTCGTTTTTGCCGCATCCCGCCTTAGGTGAATCTGCAATATGGCTGTGCGCTKGAGCACCTTTGCACTTGTTTGCCTTGCTGCATTAGTTTCCATCGATGCTTATCCTAGAGGCTTCGTCAAGCTTGAGAAAGAGCACAATATTCTAGCCTGGCTAGAGGAAGGATGGGTGATGGACGARCGCGTCGGTCCTCATGTACCTTTGAAACTCACTTTCGCCCTAAAACAGCGCAACCTTGACAAGCTGGAGAGTCTTTTCATGCRAGTTTCCGATCCCGATTCAGACRAATACGGAAAATACCTCAAACTTCATGAAGTAGCAAGTCTTATCACACCATCTGAGGAAACACAAAAGACTGTGAAGTCATGGCTGCGAGGACACCATGGAGTGGATATGAAGAAATGCTCAACAGTGAAAACTGAAGATTTTGTAACCTGTGAAATGTCTTGTGAAGCAGYTGAGTCGCTGTTGCCAGGAGCAAAGTTTCATTATTTTCATCATGAGAAACTTGATAAACCAACCATTCGATCTGTACAACATTATTCTGTCCCCAGAGAGATTGCCCCACATATTGACTTTGTAGGAGGACTCCTTAGGTTCCCAGCTGTAAATTGGGCAAGACCTAAAGTAGATAAACATGCTTCAGATTCTGTTACAGATCATGGAATCCATGTTGGTGTCTATCCGTCAGTTCTTAGGAAGCGCTACAACATTTCTGATACTGTTGGCTCTCATCCCAATAACAGCCAGGTTGTGGCCCAATTTCTTAAACAGTACTACAGCCCCAGYGACTTGAAAGAATTCTTCAAAATTTTTGGGTCTACTTTTGTTCACCTGGATACTATTGCCAAGGAGATTGGACCAGACAGTGGCCGATCTGGCATTGAAGCRAGTCTAGACACCCAGTACATTATGAGTACAGGCGCCAATATTACAACTTGGTTCTGGAGCACTGGTGGTCTACATGAGAAACAGGAACCCTTTTTGGAATGGATGGTTGCTATTAGCAACATGTCGCAAGTGCCATGGGTGCATAGTATAAGTTATGGTGATAACGAAGACTCGCTCTCCACTGATTAYATGAAAAGAATCAATGCTGAATTTCAAAAAGCTGGGGTGAGAGGTTTGTCTATGTTGTTTGCAAGTGGAGATGATGGTGCAAATTGYATTGACAACAAGAGATTCAGACCATCATTCCCTGCTTCATCACCATTTGTTACAACAGTTGGTGGCACAGCATTTGTMAATCCATTCACAGAGGGTGCTGAGTACGCATATGGYATAAGTGGAGGWGGCTTTAGTAATGTCTTCCAACAGCAGTCATACCAAACTGCAGTTGTWGAGAACTACCTGAAGACAGGTCCTGACATGCCTGCAAGCTCCTACTTTAACAAATCTGGCCGAGCCTATCCTGATATCTCATCWGTCTGTAATCATTTCTGGGTTGTCAATAATCTTGTACCAGTACCTGGCGTCTTGGGCACTTCAGCATCAACTCCATCTGTTGCTGGYATCATATCTCTTCTCAATGATTTAAGATTCCATAATGGCAAACCTTCCATGGGATTCTTGAATCCCTTCCTGTACAAGAACCAGGAAGCCCTTTATGATGTGACATCTGGTCATAATGAAGGCTGTGATCCTGGTGACAGAGGGTTTACAGCATCAGTAGGTTGGGATCCAGTTACAGGGAACGGAACACCTAACTACCCCTTACTGGCAAAGGCAGCACTGGCATAAACCAATTAACAATTTTAAAAAATATGCATGAATTTATCTAAATTAATGTACATGATCATTTSCAAGATTGAAATGTCACAGTAATATATTTTAATAAATTGGTCTCATTTTGTGTACATATGAGTCATATTTTATTGTACATTTTTTTAATTTCTCAGATCTTTGAGCATTTAGGCATCATGCACTCATTGTTTCAGCGTCTTTTATAGATACATGGCTTTAATTCTAGACCAGACAAATTTAACGTCTCTTTCGCTATTTCGGGGTGATGATCTTTGGTAAAATCAAGAAGAATGAACATCTTGTTGGAATCATCCTAAAGTAAAAGGGATAGAATTAGCTTGGGCTTCCTATGGCCTCTCTCTCTGCCCAGATGGGCAACTCAAAGACAAATACTAATATYTAACTAGTTATGTCAAACAATTGTTGTTTAKTCTTTGAAWTTTATATATTTACTTGATCATAAAATATAATATTTACCACATTATCAAGCTTGAAACCAAGCTGACACAAAGCTGGTATAAACGTATTTGTTTCCATCCTGCTTACAACTTCAGCGATCTTTAACAGACCACTGCAAAGTAAAAGAAATGTTAAAAAAAAACAGGTCTATAAATCTTGACAACAACACAGATCAAACCTACCCTGGTTTTAACACTCTGTGTGCTTCCTTCAAGAAAGATTCCAAGTCGGTGCCCATTAGTGAAAGGCAGAAGATAGCAACATCAATAGAGGCAGAATTCAGTGGAACCTAAGTAATGTTAGACATAATAAATTAGTACTGTTTAAGTTATGATAGAAATATTTGAAAATAGGAATATGATAATGTTAAATAAATACAAAACATGGTCAAAAAGAAGGCTAAAGATTATGTATGAATGGGTACTAGTCATGTATAAAGGAAGATTATTGTAATACCTTTGCCATATTGCAAGCAGTCACTCTGTCATTAGCTGCTACCAGATCAAATGAGTGAACCTTGTTGGGTACTGACTGGGCAATGACTGCCTCTCCACATCCAAAGTCTGCTAACACTAATGAGGACGACCTATATGCACAATTCAAAGTTATATTTATTATGTTACACCATTTTGTATTAAAAAAAAATACAACAAGACAATATACTAGTATTTTTTTTCGGTTTTGTATCCTAGTCATTGCTGTGAATGGCTATTRTGCAGTCTGGTATTTCATGATCTGCCCGGTCCACAGTATCCTGCAGCTAGGTTGCGAGCAAAGTTGCAGAAAATACAAATAAAAGAAAACAGTGCCCTCTGTCTTTTATGTATGGTGAGCTCTGTCCGTACCGTCAAGGCATCAGGTTTTCTTATATGGACCRACCTATAGCCGGTAAATAACATGTATTTAGCAGTCTAGCCTGTTAAGGCCCAAGAAATATGTAATATCTATATAAGTAGGCATTGCAGGCATTGCAAAGTGATGGTTAGCACAGTGTATAAGATTTGAAATGGCAATCTTTCATGTCCATTTCTAGTGTCATTATGTACAGCCTTAAAGGAGACTTATGATAATTATACCTCTGTTTTACCCAATCAATGATAACATCAACAGGATTGATAGGCCATTGCTGTACTTGTCTCCTGAACCCTTGGTGGTACACATCAAACAATGATGCATCTTGTTCAAATAAACTGAAAGCTTCATCGCCAGGTATTGTGTACAATTGCTCATTTATCCATCGGAATCTTGATGATTCAAGCTTTTTCTTTAATTTTTCTTGCAAGCCAAACTTGCCACTTGATGAAATGTGTTCTGTATTGGTAAATTTCTTTTGATCTAATGAATTGGGTATCTTTGGTGAAGTATGTATAGCTGAAATATTGTTTTCTTCATTTGTTTTTGTATGCTTCAATTCGTCATTTCTTTTCTTTGCTCTTCTTCTCCTTTTCTTTTTTGCTTTTGATCCATTTTCATTCATTTCTTCCACATTTTCATTTTCTACTTTTTTATCTTTCATAGCTTTCTCTGCCTTTCCATTTCCAGTAACTGGTCCAACCACCTCTTTTACATTTATATTCACGACGCTATCCTTAGCATGTTCACTTTTTGACTTTTTCTTCCGCCTTCTTTTTCTAGTCACGTGCTCTGAAGAGTCAGCTACCTCTGTTGTTTTGGCGTGCGAGTTCTTTGTTTTTTTGGAATTGTCACTTTTAATTGAAACTCCATTTATATTATCATAAAATGACAAACCCTTCTCTTCTTCATTTTTCTTCTTATTCGGCACCGTTGGTGTTTTTTCTTTCCTTTTTTTACGTTTTCGTTTGGATTTCTCACCAAATAGACCATGCAATAATTTTTCTTCCTTCTCCGTGCTCAAATCCCATGCATCTACTTCAAACATATTTCTTATATATTCCCTAGGAAAGTAATTTGTTCCAGCAACAGAAAACAGTAATTTATCGACAAATGTAGGTTAATTTCGAGGTTAAAGCTGCGACCTTCAAAACATTCCCTTCGTCCGCCATGTTCGAATACCTAAACATTTCGGTCAGCGATTATTATCATTTGATAGCACCGGAGCGAGGCTGATCCTTCCTCTTTGCTCTCCATCGGCGAACCAACATGGCGGTGGGAAAAAACAAGCGACTCACCAAGGGAAAGAAGGGCGTTAAGAAGAAGATGTAAGTATTTTTGACGATTTATTTTTAGAGATTTACACACAGTCATCATTGTGGGACAGTATTTTGGCGTGAGTAGAGTGCGATGGCGTTAATAAGGCTTGGATTTGTATGGATTTTTCGAGGACGTCTTTGCAAGAGTTGTACACTATTAACTTACAAATCAAAGACTGCGCGTAATTTTTGCAAGGTTGTGAAAAGATTGTCATTTTTAGGGTTAAAAGGAAGTGATTATCAGTTGTTAAGAAGAGATTTAAGACAAGATTTTTGTGTTTTTTTGTCTTTTACAGTGTCGACCCCTTCTCCAAGAAGGATTGGTACGACGTCAAAGCGCCATCTATGTTCAACATTCGCTCGATCGGAAAAACTGTTGTCACCAGAACCACTGGAACAAGTGAGTAACAGATATTAAAATAAGACTTGTGGAATATTTGCTTGATCCAGGAAGGTTGTTTGTTGTGGTGAATTGATGATAGTGATGAATATATGATATATATTATGGTGATGATGCATTGATGAACAAAATATTGTATCAGTGATCACAAGAAGTTCTGATATAATACTTTGCAAATGAAAGTATTACTGTTTACTATCAAATTRTTAATTTCACATATAAAAATAAAACATTAACATTGATTTGTGTGTGGTATTTT